ACGTTTTGGGAAAGCACTTAATACAAAAAGGCAGAAATGTAAAAATCTGTATTAATGTAATCATGTTGGAGATCAACGCTGGTATTTGATTACCATATTTAACCCAGTAAGATTTTCTTGTTCTTCCCCTGACCATATTTAACCATGGTGATGACCATGTTTTTTTGCCAATTATTAATAACTGCTTGTTTACTTGCTTTTATTTATCATTTTCTTTCGTTTTCCCAGCTTTTATCATTTCTATAAATCTATTAAGATGTGGAAGCTGTTATTGGCACTCCAAAAAGGTCATCCTGCAATCCAAGGGAGACATTGCACTTCAAGTGCAGGATGACTTTTTAGTGCGCCAATAATAGTTCCCTAAGATTTTGCCAAAACCTTTTAGCCATTAAAGCACTTTGATTTTAATTTGAGCATGAACCAAAGGTAATTGGAGCAATAAACGTAAGTATATAAGATAATTACAGTATTGACTAAAAATTTGTCATCTTCCAATTGGTCGTGGCACGTATTAGGATTTATACTGGCAGTTATTATGTATTCTGGATTGTTTTTCTCTGTAATTGATTGTTCCATTTAAATTCTTAGTGATAAGCATATTTTGTTGCCTTCATGCCAATGGCACATCTTCTTCTCTCTGTGAAAGTTTGAAAGTGGGATTTTTTATTGATTTACCTAGTGCATTTCACCAATCTTTTGAGTGCTTATTAATTTTCAGAGTGTGACCCCCCATCTCGCTTTGGGCGGTGAAGTGTTCTGGGCTGGTCAGCATCGGAAGTCTGGTATTGGCTATGCTGCTCGGTATAACACAGAAAAGATGGTATACTTCTTGAACCCTTAAATTATAACTTCCTGAATATGCGACATAATGCTTTCATTGATTCCCACTGTTGTTTACTCATTAATTCTTATATTGCAAATAAGATATTAATTTGTTACATTCTGGCTCCAGAAGGGGCATGCATCAAGATTCATATATCTAAAATGTATATCGGTAGTTAACTGCATGCTTTCTCACTATTGTTTCTTTTTCCAAATACCTTCTTTGTTTTAGATGAATGCCACAATTGTTTAGGTAAAGCTATAAAACATCATGAAAATTTTTTCATTTTTCAGATTTAAAGTTGATTTTGTTAAGTTCAATGTATGCAGTTAACTAAAGGGAATAAAGAAGGAAGAGTTGTAGCTCATTTTGATTGCAATGTTAGTTTTCAAAATTAATTTTATAAAACTCTTAAGGTCGTAAGAGTTGGTTAAAACAATGATATGCTGAAATAATTGGTAATATTAAATAAGGGAAACTAACTAGTTGTCAAGTAATAGTAGGATGTCCATGTTGCAGCCTCATGGTCTCTATTCTAGACGAAAAGCGGCAAATATCCCGCACATTAAAACTAATGCTAATATTTTCATGTAGTTCAAATCAGCATTACACTTTAGTTCAAACTTTTGAGTACCACAGGGTCTGGCTGTCCATATGGGAAAAGCATTGAGGTTGAAGTAGAATAAAAAGTGGGGTGTGATATCTACACACCCCTTTTTACTTTTCACACATCCTTTTAATTTTTGGCCGTGAGATCGGATGAAATGAAAAAGATCAACAGACAGAAATTGACAAGGGGTGTGTGGATAGCACACCCCTAAAAAGTTATATATATTGCTTACCTCATATTCCACACATTTTCGATTTGCATTTGCTTGAGACCTTAATAATTTTATTTTTGATTTTGGGTAAATCACATTTCCCCCCCCCCCCCCCCCCCTTTCTCCCTCTTTTTTCAACTTTTTGTCCAATTTCAATTTCATACGTCTTTCAATTTTTTTAATTTCATACAATGTCTCACGTACCAATGTCATACATCTGTCTTAACTTCTGTTAGTTTGACTGTTATCTCCTCATGTGGACCTTGCAGGCCCCACAAAATTTGTGCCACATGGATAAAAAACAAGTAGTCCACTCCTGAAAGAAAAAAAAAAAAAAAAACTCAAAATTGCAGCAACACCCTAATTCTTGGAGGAAAATTCAAAACAAAACAGAAAGCAAAGAATTACAAAACAACTTGAGACCAAATATTACTAATTGGTCTTCATAATCATCTTTGGTACTTCATGAATCTTATAAATGGATTTCAGCTTCTTAGCTGCTTTATTAGTTGTTAAGGGCACATGGCCAACATTTTTCCATGGGAGTAACCAATGTCCATCTCCAGTGAGGCCTTTTCTATTAACAAAGGTGATTTAGGGTCATAAGATTTTAAAGCCCAAGCTGTAGAACCTTGGAAGGTGAACCTATACTAAATGAACCTAAGTAGGAGTATTCCAACTGTTGTACGACTGAGCAGCTCCAGAACATATTCCACAGGATTTTGTTATATACTTCCTGGCTGATTGTTTTAATAGGAGATTTTGACTCGAGTAACTGTTATGTGAACCAAACCTTAATCCAACTTGTCTTTGCACCCCCAGGTTGCCACAGGGCAAGTCGCTAGCACTGGTATGGTTGCTCTTAGCTATGTACAAAAGGTTTCTGATAAGGTGAGCAAAGTTGATATATGGTTGAACATATTTAACTTTTTATGTTGTTGGAGTATCTTTCTGCAGTTTTTTTTTCATGATTTATCCGAGCTCTTTCTTATAGTGTTTCTTCCTTATAGGTTTCTCTCGCATCAGATTTCATGTACAACTACATGTCAAGAGATGTCACAGCTAGTTTTGGTTATGATTACATTCTTCGACAGGTAGCTTTCGAATTGTTAATGTTCAAATATTTCATTGAAATAAATAGACGTTCTCTTTTTCTTCTTCTTAGTTTGTATGTTGTGGTCTTACTATATGCATAGTATGGTACGATTACACAACCAGTGGTATCTGATTGCTGTTGGAGGATGTGACCACCTATTCGGTGAACAATTTCATGAAGCATGATTTCTCAGACATTATGGCCTGTTGATTCTATGCAGACCTTGATCCCCGATTCAGATTCTGTCTGGCTACATAATTTTTTTATGTACATATGCAGTCCATGCATGTAAAACTCACTATACACTGCCTTGTCGACCGTAAACCATAATCACTTCCTATTCATCTAGAACCTGGAAGCCTTAACAGATTGGGTTATTTCTCTTTTTCTTTCGAATAGTGGTTTCTTAGATATGAATTTGTAAGTATTGCCCGCTCTTCCTGACTAATTTTTTTTTTTAATTGTTGCAGTGCCGTCTTAGAGGAAAGATTGATTCCAATGGCACCGTAGCTGCATTTTTGGAAGAGCGACTAAATATGGGTCTTAATTTTGTTCTTTCTGCAGAGGTGAGGATTTAGCAACGTTTTCTTTTTCTTATCAGTTAACGAAACCCTGCTTTGCCAGTTCTCTCTTGACAAGTACTAAAATATACGCCTCGCAGATTGATCACAGAAAGAAAGACTACAAATTCGGGTTTGGGTTGACTGTCGGAGAGTAGAATGCAGGACCAATGCTGTTTCATCATTCTTGCCGGCAAGATACTCTCTCTTTATTTTTCCATTCGAGTTGAACTAGAGATCCCTGTATACTTAATCTCGGGTAACATTATCGCAGGGCGGCATCGGTTTAGCCAGTTTTAGTAGCCGGTATCCTTTTGGAGTTCCCTTTGTTCAGTTAAGAGATGTAGAATAAGATTTTGGAATAATTCAAATTGAATTCCTAGTCACAACATCAACCTTTGCCCGAAAAGAAAAAAAAAAAAACTCGATTTCTTGTCGGTTTGGTCATTCCTGCTCGTACATCAAAGTATTTGGAAGCTAAAACTTCCCCGGTTCCCTTGATTTTCCGGTCGACCTCTCCTCGTTCTTGTGATCTTGAGCTTGGGGAGCAAGTGTTGCTCCAGAAGCCTTCAAGAGTTGCATTAATCGCCCCCAGTCTGGTTACGACCGGAATTCCTCCTACGCGTCGAACCTAAAAATAACAGTTGCTTCACGAGGATAAGGAGAGCTTGTGAAGAGGACGATGAGTAAGAGGACTTGAAGCTGCATGTTTCCGGAAATTGGTCACTGGGTTTTGAAGAACTCGTGGATTCCTCCCGCTTTTCTGGGTTTTCAACTCGCCCGAAATAGGCCAATTTTAAGGATAATTTGAGATGAAAACTTTTAATATCACCAGTTACTCGATCAACATTCAACCACTGCAACTTCAAAATCATAAATTTTCATCAACTAACAATAACATCACCAAAAGTTTAATTGACATTTTGACTTCAACAAGGTGGCATCTATGTTGACAAAGTATTACATACCTGCAAACCAAAAGACGACAACTTTAAAAACTAAAGCGTTGTTCCAAAAAACTTTACAAAAATATTTTAGTTCATCGTAAACTTTTATTTGTGATATTACATATTTTTGTACTTATTAACAATTATACCGTGTACTTTTATTCAGTCGTAAGGGCGTAGACTGCGGTGCCCCAATAAACAAAAAAAATGTGGAAGTTCCAGAGTTCAATGCTCTAAGCTGGTGAGTCTGCTTGACTGTTGCCATAAACAAAATAAAATTTCCCATAGCCTCTCTGCCTTTTTGGCCCTGAAAGAAGTGGATAATCGTGGCTTGCCACCAGTTGTCTTCCTTTTAAAGGAAAAAAAACAATGATTACAGTGTGGGGTCGTGTTTATTCCTTTATAGAATATTACCGAGAGGTTTTGCTCTACTTCCTTCTTGCTAAAATGTGACGTGAACATTGCCACTACGCATACATGGATAATGGATTAGTATGACACAAGTACTCTCAGTAATATTTGATAACCATAATACAATAATATGTGTTAGTTTATCTCTTTGCGTTCTTCTATCATTGATAATAGGACGTCACCTTAATACAAGAATTAGTATGATCCAAGTATATTTTTACGATGATATTTCATATCAATAATACAAAAATACGTGTTAGTTTATCTTCCCGTATTCTTTGATCATTGATAATCAGACGTTAGTAATAGCCTCTCCGTAACATACAAGTTGCTCTAAACAATGAGTGTGTGTCGTCATAATTTATAACGCCTTTGATAACTTTGAACACGCACAGAGACACAGCCACAAGCCATTGAAATGAATCTGCTGCATCAGGTGTTGCGTAGCAGAAACTGCAGCAGCACCGTCTCTCTTCTTACCCACAATTCCTCCTCCTCTTTCAATCCCACCACCACATCTTCAAATCTCCCATTTGGGTCATCGTCAGCCCTCCAGTTCAATCAACAGCGACCACTTTCACTGCCCCACAAGTTCAAACACACCACTTTCACTGCCAAAGGGGCGGCCCTCCAAACCATCGCAGCTTACTCCGGAGGAGACAGAGAAATGGCCCCCGAGTCTCCGGCCAAAGAGCTCCGCCGGATTCTGGAGTTGCCGGGGGTTGTCCAGGCCCCTGCTTGCTTTGATGCTCTGAGTGCCAAGCTTGTGGAAAGAGCTGGCTTTCAGTGCTGCTTCACTAGTGGTATATGATGTTTTATTTATTTATTCAGTTTGTTGATGTGGGTCTTCTTCCTTTCTTGTAGATGTTGACATAATTACATCGTTTGATAGTAGTGACTTTAGTTTGAAGCAGTTTTTGATGTGGGTTTGGCTTGACATGTTTCTTGTGAGACTCTGGGAGTTGTCTTGATTGTATATACTCGTTGTTATTGATACCATTACTTGTAAAAGGTTTGGGAGGGTGGAGTTGCAAGGTATATTGAAATGAAAAATTTTCAGCATTGGTGAACCGAGTAGTATTACATCGATCCAGCTAACATGAAGAAATTGAAATGAAAGTTGTTTAATCAAAGAAGAAAAATGGTAAGATTCTAAAGTATTTCAAACATAAAAATCATAAGTCATATTTCGTTATTCGTGTGAGTTTACAGACTGTTGTTTCTTAAGATGTTATCTATTCTAGATATTTGGTAATTATCTGTTGTGCAATACGTGGATAGCAATTTGTTCCCTGTGGATGTTCTTGTTTTTATGTTTGTATGCTCTTTATAAAAAATGTAGTGCATGTGATTGCGGTTGTGTTACTGCATCCCTTTGTCGTTTTTCTGGTATATCTTCTTGCCTAAGTGTATCAAACACTAAAGCAAGCTTATTAATGCCATTTGTTCTTCCATTAGGATTTTCAATATCAGCTGCTAGATTAGCGTTGCCAGATACAGGTTTTATATCCTATGGAGAAATGGTGGATCAGGGGCAACAAATTACCCAAGCTGTGTCAATTCCTGTTATTGGTGACGGTGATAATGGATATGGGAATGCAATGAATGTGAAGAGAACTGTCAAGGGATACATTAAAGCTGGTTTTGCTGGGATTTTGCTTGAAGATCAGGTTATAGTTATACTATTGAATTGAACTTTTGCATCCATGAATATTTCCTGTTTTCTTCATCATCTCTCTCTCTCTCTCTCTCTCACTCTCAATAACTGTTGCTGTTACTTTTTTAAATTAACCAATGGTGGAACTGGCAAGGAACTTTGGGATAGGGAGGAGGTGGGAGTAGATTGGAGAGTAATTAAGGTTTAAATTGGGTTTGCTTCTTTTTATGGAAATTTCTTCATGTTTCCCAATCCTACGTTTATAGTCATGTCTACCCAAAGATTTTATAGTTACTGATTTTTTGTCTTCTTAAGCCTGATTTATTTATTTTCCTTATAGTGGATATTTACAAAGAATAAAACCCTACTGTCCATCAAAGAAATTGGATTAGAATTCTGCTAACAGAATAGAAAATTGAATCTTTTGTTGAAAAGCAAGTGTAAAGCTTTTATTTTTATTACTTTACTCAAGTGGCCGGGTTAAAATGAATAAACAGTATCTCGTATCTATCTATAAGTTATACTAAAACTTTGGTCCAACTAAGTAGGAATTTTTTTTTATAAAATAGTTTCTTCCTCGTACATTCCTTTTTGTTTCCTCAGTTAATCTTTAGAGAAGCATTACAAGCATAATATTAGGTTTAAAATATTGAAACTGTTGATTGTCCAAGAGATCTTTTATGGAATCGGTGTCCTCTACGAGACAGGGTAACTTGATGGTCGGAATGACAAAAAACATGTGTTTGATTCCCATTGGTCTACATGATGTGATTTCATATTGGTATGCGAAGTATGTTACTTCGTATTTCTTTGTGGTTGGTTTGATCTATTTGAAACACCTTATCACCATTTGCTTAAATTTGTAATTGACTAGCTTTTTACTTATTTTGCTAGGTATTATAAATTCATTCTTGTCCCTGTTTGAGACAATTATCACTGACAAAACTGTCGTCTTTAGGTCTCTCCAAAAGCTTGTGGTCATACGCAAGGAAGGAAAGTGGTGTCAAGAGAGGAGGCTGTAATGCGGATAAGAGCAGCTGTTGATGCTCGGAAAGAGAGCAGCTCTGACATTGTCATTGTAGCAAGAACTGATTCTCGTCAAGCAGTGTCTTTGGATGAAGCACTCTGGAGGTCAAGGGCATTTGCTGATGCTGGTGCAGATGTTCTTTTCATTGACGCACTTGCTTCTAAAGAAGAGATGAAGGCTTTCTGTGGGATATCTCCCTTAGTTCCAAAAATGGTACATTACATTTGTCAAAGACTTGGATTTCGTCACGTTTCTTTTTCTACATTTGTATACGCAATATGTCTAGCCGTAGATTAGTTATTCTTGTGCATGATCCTGAGTTCATCTGAGGATAAGCTGTTTGTAGTAGGTTGTATTTTGTTGGTGAAGTCAGAAACTGTCCTCAGTAATGGTATAGTAAACCCTTAAAATTTGCAGAATATAAACCTCAATTATATCTATAATTGAAAATTTTCTTTGTTAATAAAAACAAAAAGTTACAGCTTTTGTTTAATGAATCCAAGTTATATTTCATAACATGTAATTTGACAAAGACTCTGAGTTATGTTCTGACTGGAGCCCTCATGTAAGTAGAAGGATATCAGTCGCCTGGTGCTTTATGCGTATGAAAGATGTAGAATTTGATGGTTGTGTACTAAGGTGTCACTCTGCTTCCTAGTATACTTATTCTTTGGTCTTTGATTTCTGTTTATTAGTTGTTTATATGGTGTCAAAACTCAAAACTGATGGGATGCCACATGTTCACGAGTTGTGATACTACTGTGGTTGAAATTTCTGGTTTGGCAGTGAATATCTGACTACGGCCACTTTCATTACTCTTTTTGGTCTACGACTCTATTTATTATTATTTTTAATAGCAGAACGTAATTGAACATTTTTTGTGCAGATAGTATGGTTAAGTGCCACACAGGTATTGTATGAGATATTGCCTATAGCATGAACGAGAGTTCTTTGTAGAGGTCTTTTCCATTTATGGTACTAGAAACAGCATTTAGTTCTATATATGTTGCACTGCATGGAGATGGATATATGTGATATATGCATATCATGGTATGTCAATTGATAATCTAAGAATCATGTGGCTCAATTTGTAACTTCAGAGTCAGAGGCATTGTTGAAAATGGAGAATAATTTGGTGTGATTGATGAATCTCCATGTTCTATCAGGCTAATATGCTTGAAGGAGGAGGCAAAACGCCAATACTCAATCCACTTGAACTTGAGGATGTTGGGTATAAAATTGTGGCTTATCCGCTTTCCTTGATTGGGGTATCTATTCAAGCAATGCAGGTAGCGTGCCTACACCTTTTTCTTTTAAATAAAGTTCAGCATGAAGAGAAAAGGTCATTTATCTTAACACCCTATAATTATGCTGCTGTAAAAGATTTGATATAGTTATGACTATTGATCTCTCCGCTATTGCATGAGTTAATGATATGATTCAAGAATCAGAACCGAAAACACATCAGCAGCCAACAAAGACATTTCTCATTGTAAACTCGTAGTTCCTGAAAATTGAATAGAAAAGAAACTTTTTACAATATAATGTTGGATTTACCCTTTTTTTTGTTACAATCCCTAAGAATATCAAGGGAATTTTCACCATTCTGTCAACAATCTAAGTTAAAGCAAACATTGTGTTTCCCTACACTTTTTAGAAGTGTTACTTGCCTAGGATTCATTAATTTAGAATACTATTTAAGGAAGGAACTTATATATATCAATTGCAGGTAGCACTGGCTGGTCTCAAAGGAGGCCGCATCCCTCCTCCTGGAAGCATGCCATCCTTCGAAGAGCTTAAGGAGATTCTAGGTTTCAACAGTTATTATGAAGAAGAAAAACAGTATTCTACCAGCAGCAGTCAGCTATCTCCAGAAAGATGTGAGTAACTTGTATAGTCACATGAGTTGTAGATATGTCATTATTGCTTACCCTGATGATAATTTGTTATCAAATGGCCTCTACCGTCTTTCCCCCCATTTTGATGAAAGTTGATTACTTTTATCAAAACTGGGTTAAAATTGGACTAACATAACAAATTGGGTTACATCTGAATACTGTAAAAGGACAAATGGCTCTATGCAAGATAAATTTCAACTTGTTTCCATTCAATTTTTTGTGTACCAACCAAAATTTTATAGATATAGATGAGCATTTTCGTTTCATAGTGCTTATACATGAAGGTTATTTTCCAGTGACCAGTAGTGTATACAGTCTCCAAAGGACTGCTAGAGATGGTGGAGAGCAGAAAGATCAGAATCCTCAAGATCCCGTTGTTGAAGTTATAACACCTGACGTGTACAATAACTATGATGCAGATGGTTCCAGGGGTCCATTTTCTGGGATCTGGTCTCGGACGTTGAGGGTCAAAATAACTGGAAGGGATGGCTTTGAGAGACTTGATGTTCGGATTCCTGTAAGTCTTCTATTCTTTATGGGCATAGCATTCCATTCACAGTGCTTCCACTGTTATCCAGGAGAAAAGATTGTAAAACTCTTGGAATAGGTGCCCCACCAACCTTATTGAAAATCCTAAGTTTGTCTTCATTCTTAATTGTTAGAAATCCCTACGGTGTTGTGATGATAGGTTCGCAAGGAAAGAATTGGTAAACAGATAGTGTTAAAGAGTTCCGAAAATAATACCCTCCCAAAAATTTCGTGAACAGATGGTGATATATCAGCAGAGATTCACCTTATGTTACAATATGATTAGAGAGTTACCATTTCACAGATGGTATTGTGCTAAATATGTGACCAGGCAGTTACTGGAGCGAGACAGCATGGTCGCAATGCTGTTATGAGTATTCATGAAAGAAGGAAAAAAAACACTTGAGCATGTGAAATTCACTTCATTTCGTCTGTCTCTTCATCTGGGATCGTCTTTGATATGATTGTATATCTTCGTCATTTACATGTTAGTCATGTTATTTCAGACTTACGACAACCTGCTTTCATGTTTTGGTTATAAATTTTTACAGGCTGGATTCTTGGATGGAATCACAAATATAGTTCCAGGTATTATTCATGTTCTCTCCAAACTTACTGAAATAGGTAATTGCTCCAGACCGGTAGTCCCTTGTAGTGTAATTAAAACTCCACATGTTTTTCCAACAGCTCTCGGGGGTGTGAACATCAAACAACTGCTAAACGAGGCAACTGATGAAATGGGAGGGAAGCTGCTGCTAGATTTTAATGACACAATTGGTGATAGGATTCAAGTTTTTCTAGAGTGAATCCAAGAAGTAGAAGTCTTACAAGCATAATGCTAAAAGGTATGTTGACCAAAAAAATTGCTCAAGGTACTCTCTGTAACATGAACGATCCTCAGACGCTTGATTGCATATTCTCTGAAAGAAAATACCAAATGCTCATGTAACAAGTGTTTCTACTTCCATGATTGATGCAGGGGTAAGGCCAACAAAAACTGAAACTCGGCCAAAGAAATCGGCGGTGATGTACAAAGTTTGATCAATTTAATAGGACGAATGGTTTCTTTTCGATAGATTGTAAATTAAAGTTACGATATGATTACTTTTGATATGTTGTGCGCATTTCTTCTACCTTTTAGTACAAACAAATACAATTTGGGGTTTGGACTCCGTTTTTCAGAGTCGATTGATAATGGCTTTGTTTACAAACTGATTTGTTTGGTTGTTTCAACCAGTGCTTTTATGGTTTTCTTAGAACTCGTTTGATAAACGTTTCGTGAACTACTAAAAAGGTACATCACGCTCACTAACACGTCGTTTTAGTCAATGATCACTGCAATTACGCAGATTGCCTTCTTCGGAACATGATTACGTGACAGAGACCTTCATTTCGGCTTCAATGTACCGCCGAGACCAAGGGGAGGACATTGTTTTCGAAGTTTCTAACGTTGAGCAAATTGACAGAGGTTGATTCGTACTAGGTTGTTTCATTGTTCCCATGAACTCTTGTTCGACCATTTCGGATTTTGTGCGTTTTTCCTTTCCAACGTCGTCAATCACAACTCTTCTGTTTTGCTCGTACCGGCATACAAACTGAGAAAGTTGTAGAATGAATCAAAACCTTATTCGTTTGTGTTTGTAGCCAAACATCGCGATAAATGTTACACAATCTGGCAAAAAGAATATATATCTCCGATAAAAAAGGACCGAAACGATAACCTGAGACGGGTTATCCCCAACACTACACAAACAAGACAACAGCTGCTCAAACCAGCTAGGCAATGCACCTATAGAGAACACACTCTTGTGACCCATACGAAATGCGGAGTTACAGAGATACATCACATCCCCACATAAAAATTACACGACTTTGTTTCAAAATACAACCTTCGCGTTCCAACCTTATCGACCTCAAATCAAATATGTATCGACTTGCTTCCATCAATTTCACCGGTAGCCACCGCCATATGGCTGCTGAGGATAACCACCTGCGCCCATCATGGGGTTATAGCCAGGAGGCATGTTTGCACCAGGAGGTAATCCGGTTTGCCCTTGCATCCCCATGCCCATATTCATTCCCATTCCCATGTTCATCCCCATCCCCATACCCATGGGTTGATTCGTGCCACCGTAGCCACCCATGCCCATACCTCCACCTGGACCCCCACCCATACCCATAGCCATTCCCATGCCCGGACCCATCCCCCCGCCCATACCTGAACCCATCATAGCGTTTGGTGGAGCCCTAAGAACACTTGCACCTGCACGGCCAATTCCAGAACCAGATCCCATGGCTTTACCCATGTTAATAGTAGATGTTGCAGGAGTTGCCGGCTGCTTCTCCATCCTCTTTTCCTTCCGATTAATGGAATCAAAGTCAATTCCAATATCATTCAATGGATTAATTTTAGCTGCACATGAAAAAAAAAAAAGGGAAATAAAAGCCGTTATAAAACCCTCAAAAAACATAGATCGTTGATAAACAAGTTGAAGAAGAGACATAGCACTCACCTCCAGATATATTTAAATTAACTAGGCCTCTGCTGAGTGTATCAGCCCAAACTGCTGACTTCGGTTCAAACTTGCTGTCTTTAGGTGGTTGAGCAACTATAGCAAGTGCCCCTGTTGACGATGACAGCGGTTGCTGGGAACCCATTGAGGTGTTTGGTCCTTTTTGTGAAAAAAGGTTGCCCAGAACATCACTATTATGTTGCAAACCTGGTCCAGGTGGAACTTGAGGAGTGGCCTGTGAAGCTACTGGGCTGACAGAACCTTGTGGATGGAAGTTCCCTTGTTGTGGATGGAAGTTCCCACCATTAAGCTGTGCAGCTGGTCCATTATGAGCATGAGGAGCCATGTAACCTCCCTGTTGTGAAAAATAGTTTCCGCTGTTGGGAGCTGAAAATCCACCTTGTTGTGGAATGAAATTTCCATTGTTAAACTGTGCAGTAGGCCCTGTTGGAGTTTGAGGAGCCCCATGTGAAGTGATGGGAGCTGTAGGCCCTCCCTGTGACGGAAAACCCCCACCGCTGTATTGTCCAGCAAATCCCGTTTGATCATGAGGGGACTACAGATCCTGGCTGCACATGAAAATTCCCGTACATATTAGCACTTGGCTGTGGATGCTGACCTGTTGGACCTGGAAAGGACTGCTGTGAAGGTCCAGTAGGTGGCAAAATATCAGCAAGAATATCCATGTTGTTTTCAGTAGACTGTTCTTGAGACAGTAAATTGTGAGTTTGTTGGAGTTTGAACACTGGAAACACCAGATGACGAATAATTTGCAGCAGAAAATGAATCCCCAAAGGGAAAGTTGGAAGCTGTATCTGCACTCTGGTTCACGGTTGGTGGGAAAGAGTCTGTGGACGTGGAAGTGTGTGGTTGAGGTTGGACCGTCTCACTGGAAGGGAGAGCCTTGAAGGGGGAGTCACCGAATGGATCTTCAAATGACTGCATTGAAGGAGAACACTTTTAATCCAAGAAGGATGTCACTTGAGAAATTCTTTTAATAGCAAAAAATGCCTACCTGATTCATAACATTAGATGCTGGTGGAGTTGCTGTAAATGTGGTTGCAGAACTAGAGTTTGCATGGGGTTCGACTTCAAATGTAGCAGTAGAAGGTGTAGTCGGTACAATGGCCAATGCATTTGAAGAGAATGAGTCTGACAGGGAACCTAGTAAGTCCATCTCAACGTTTGAGGTAACCGGGGCTGCTTGGACAGCTGGGGCAGCTTGGGGAGCTGGGGCAGCTTGGGGAGCTGGGGCAGCTGGGCAGCTGGGGCAGCTGTTAAAGGAAAGACAACGTGAGTTTCTCATAGTGCTGCTTTTCAATCACAAACATAAATGCAACTAAAATCTTGCAGATAGTCCCTGAAAGGCCAAAGAACAACTGTATCGAAACAACCTGCTTGCAAAAGGGTACCAAGAAAGTAAATGATCTTTTTTTCAGGGACAACATATAAGAATTTTATACTCAGGAGCATAAACTAACATAAAAACACTATGTTGTTACACGAGATCTTCATTCTCTGTATCAACAGGGTGTACATAGAAACCTAAACTGCCTTCCACTCAACAGTATTAGGATGTTAAAGACAACCAGTACAAATTGCACCCCAGACATACTAGCTAAAAAAGATGCTAAAACCCTACTTAATATTAAACTAAGAGGAGGCTGTCAACAATAATTCCACAATCCAATGTCATTTGAATGGGACCCTCAGACATTCAAATACACCCGTCCTGACATTTGCAACAAACAATTCACAATAAAGAAATTTTGAGTTATAATCATTATAAACACAACGATAACACATTCCTCAGCTGTTCGTACTGGACTAAAGCATAATCATGCCTACGGTACTTACTAACCTGAAACAGAACCACGTGGATCAAATTCATCTGAAGGCTCCACTTCCTGTTTTGCAGGTGATGCAGAAGCAACATGAACACTGGTTGCTTGGCTTGGATTAGATGCAGAAGCAACATGAACACTGGTTGCTTGGCTTGGATTATTGCTTGAAGGTGGAGATGAAGCTCTAGGAGCAGAAGTTGTTGGAGTTTCACCACCCCTGTAATCAAGAAGAAATATTAAATGATTTAGCTAATGCTTAAAATAGGAAAACAAAATAAAGGGTGATCAAATTCTTTATTACAGACAAATTAATACCTTTCGCTGTGAACAGGGCTTCGAGATTCACTTACAACCTCCTCATAACTAGGAGGAGCCCCAATGTTTTGTTCAGAAAATTTCCTACTTAGCCTGCCAAAGATGAATAATATTGTTATTGAGAAGTGGCAGTCTTCTGGAATGCTCTGATAAAAATACCATATTCCTGAAATTTACTATATTATCATCATTACTTTGTTTCTGTTACCGAAATCTTTAATATGAGGCGTATCTATATACAGATCCATATACCCATAATGAAATCAATACATTGCAATGAACATAAAGATCTTTAAAATGGCCCAATACTAAAACAATCCTTCCATACACATAAAGTTTCTCTCAACCTTAAAATATTTGAAATTTAATCATATGTTTTATGTGATTTACTTCTTATTCGATAAAATTTTCCAAGGGATCAGCATGTAGTTCAAGTGATAGTATTAGGATCTTAATTATATCAACTGATTCCTATCCAACTTTAATCACTTATATTCATGTCCAACAGCCAGACTTAAGAATATATTTCAAGCACACGTCACTGAAGATTTACCTTCCATCCTGGGATTGGTCATCAGCTTTAGCACCACTACCACTGCAATGAGGACACATAAAGACTTAACAGTAAGTTTCCAATTTAGGTTTAAGTAATAAGTAAAAAATAAAGACATCAGACTACAGCCTCAACTATTACAAATATTTAAAAAATAAAACAAAATATGTAAAAGCATCCAAAAAATTTTGGCATGTACATATATGCACTTCCACTTTTAATGCATTAAGATGGAAAAGTTATCTTTAGTACTTCCTGCTGAAAACATATATTTTTAACAGTAATATTTTCTACAGTCAAACCATCACAGAAATGAATAAATTATATAACATAGAAACAAGAGAATAAAATTGTTAAATAACAAATCTGCCTTCTCAATGTTCAAGAAGATAACTAAGTTGACTTCCTGAAAATAGTCTCTAAAATAACCTAAACAGAATACATGCCACCAATAAAATCAAAATACTTCTTAATCACATACTAGTAATGATTCAAAATTATCAACAGAACAAAACCATTACCGAGAGGAATATTGACCATCATCATCAACTGAACGCTCCCTCTCTCTATCAGAGCTTCTACTTCTAGAGCCATGAGGGTAATCATCAACACTATGACTTCTTCCTCGGTAATCATCATCCCTGTAACCTTCTCTCCCGTTGCGTTCATCATATTCTCTACCATAACGATCTCCGTCACGACTGTACCGGTCATCATCCCTATAGCCCCATTCTCTTTCCCTCCCATAGCCATTCCTATCTTCATCCCTGCCTCCATAGCGGCCTTCGTAACGATCATCGTCATATTTGTCACCATATCCTCCTGTACTTGAATGGGAACCGGGCCTATACATTCCACCTGTTGATGCTGTATTACGGAACCTGTTGGGATATAGAAATCAGTCAGAAACCACTTTCATTATAATTTCCTGTAGATGATGAACTGGGCATAGTTCTACAACACTACTCTTGCTTTTCTTATACATATAGA